GCCAGTGACACTGCCCTCCACAGCTAAGATGCTGAACAACAGCTCAACCTGGAGCTGGGCTGCCGTGAGTTGCTTGCGATGGCGTAGGCTGCAGCCACTACTGCAGTGGGTTGCCATGGGCTACTGTGTGTAGCCAGCAGCCAGCGTGAGCGGCCAGCAGCCAGCGTGAGCGGCCAACGTCCTCCACAACTAGACTGAAGAACAAAAGGACAGCAACTTGTCTGTTCCCCTCCCCCAATTCCCCAATAAAATCTTTTTTAAAAAAAACCAATATCTGTAGTTCACCTGGCCCAATGTCTAGAACAGTTTAGTACACAATAACAATTAACAATTCAAACAAGGACAAGCCCAGCCCAAAGGCTTGTGATATAGGTTAAAGGAATCCTTGCTAGAAATTCCATATGAGGCTGAAGTCCCCGGCATTTCCACTTAACAGGTTTTCATTCTCTCAGGAAATGAAACATAGATGATGGCCTTTCTCATCGGGCTGAGTGCATTAGAGTGCTGCATCCTTTGTATCTATCGTGAGTGCGAATATGTAATGTCTGCCAATATCTTGCTTAAAACCCCTTTATCTAGAAATCACACTTGCTTGCTCCTTGTGATGTGTATAGGTTGGGGGAAAATATGTCCCTTCTCTAATAAGGTAAAAGGAAGTTAATGGATTTCACCATGGATTCCTCATTCCTGCCCATGGGAAAGTGATAAAAGAGGTGGGGGTGGGGAGAGTATCGCACTGTCCTTCCATTCACCAGAGCTGATTGTGGGTATTCCCTACAGAGGTTTGACATGGGTCACTGCAACCCCTCTGCATTCGCCCCAGATCACCAGTGGGCACCACAGGCTCCGGCTCAGGACTGCTCACAGGACTGCAGAGCCTCACACTCAGGAAGGCTGGAGTCAGGGTGGATGACAGCTGGATATTTGGAGGGGGGCAGGGGTTGAGGGTGCGAGCACTGATACGATTCCATTATATAAACAATTCAATTGTACTTGGAGAAACTAGCAATGCTGGCAGGTACAGCGGTGAACAGTCAGACAAGGCTCCTGATTTCCCAGCATTTACTAAGAAGGTCAACTCTTAATGTAAAGAAAGGTCTGCTGAAAACACTTGAATAGTCTACTCGAAAACAGTGTTTTTCCATGTGTAAGAGGTCTTCTTTCTGAATCAGAAAAAACTATGCAACATCCTGGTAATTAGGTTTTCAAATCCTTGAAAATTCGAATTCCAGTATCAATCTGGAAAAATGCATTAATTCCCCATTTCCAGCAGTACATTTCACAACTGTTTCTGAAACTATATTCTACCAGAAAATAGACTAGGTCATGAGTGGATGGTTTACATTGAGTTTTCTAAAGGAAACACATAGGAAATATGACTGAAGAACTTTGAAAAGCTTAAGGTTAGGAACGTATTCATTAATGTATCCATTCCACAATCACTCCCTGCTTTCCCACTGTGCATAAGACACTGGGCAATGCTGAGAATACAGGCGATAGGATAATTTGGAGAAGAAAATGTCCTATGATAACCTATCTCTACTCCGCCCAGATTTCTTTTTTGTGTAACAAATATGTCATGGACACAATAATTCAATTATTCCTGTACCAATGAATTTTCTGTATGCATTAACCATTTACTTGTTGAGCTGGTCCCAGAAAAGCAGGGGACACTACATTTTGAATGGAGAGAGTGAACTTTTCAGCTGCAACACCCATTTCATGGCCTATAAAAGGTTAGCCTTTCTGCCTTGCTGACACTGCTTCCTCTCAGGTTGTGGTCACCTTGCCCAGGCTGTGGGTCTCTCCAGCACCACCATGCCACTCTCAGTGCAGACCTCTGGGCTGTCCAGGCAACTGTCTTCCCAGAGTGGGGCACTAGGCAGAGCCAGGGGCATGGCTGCTTCCAGTGTTGGGAGTGGCTCTGCCGGAAGCACGCTTGGCTTTGGAGGCAGCTGTCGGGGAGGCTTTTCTGCTGCTTCCATGTCTGGTTCTAGCTTTGGCTTAGGTGGTGGCTTTGGAAGTCCTTTTGCAGGAGGACTGGGCCCTGCTTATAGGGGAGCCGTGGATAGTGGCTTTGGAGGCCTGGGGATTGGATTTAGGGAGCAGCTCAGGAGGCGGCTCTCTAGGTATTCTCTCTGGCAATGGTGGAGGCCTTCTTTCCGGATCAGAAGAGGAAACCATGCAAAATCTTAATGACAGATTGGCTTCCTATCTGGATAAGGTTCAGGCTCTAGAAGAAGCTAATACTGAGCTAGAAAACAAAATTCGAGAATGGTATGAAACACGAGGATCTGGGACTGAAGATCCGGGGTCACAGAGTGATTATAATAAATATTATCCAAGGATTGAAGACCTCAGGAATCAGGTAAGAATATAGTTTTCAGGGGAACTTTGGGAATTATTGTTTATGTTTATTTTTTTGCTTTACCAATGTTTTAAAGTGATAATCCTCTAAAACTCAGATATTTTTTTCAATTCAACTGTATTTGGAGCAATTTCTCATCTCAAGATACTTAGTTTCATTTTATCATTTACCATAAAGTGACTCTGTTTCCACTCTTTCTATAGGAAATGTATGTTTCTTGATTTTAAAATATTCTATAAATATATTTTCTTTTAAAAAATTAAACAGCTTTAAACTCTTAATAAATAGCATTTAACATCATCTAAAAATTTTCTGTCAAAAATATATTTGTATAATACTGATATTTTGGGGCCTCATTATTTTTGTCTTCCCCTATTTTGCCAGATCATTTCTGCCAGCATTGGAAACACCCAGCTCGTCTTGCAGATTAACAATGCAAGACTGGCTGCCGAAGACTTCAGAATGGAGTAGAATGAAAGATTAAGAATTGATATGTCCCACCATGTCTTCTTATTCCCTGTTTTCCTGCCTTCATTGACAGCAAATATTTCAAACCTTCTGCAGTTCATAGGCTCCACACACTTGGTGTTTTGGTAAATTGATGTTGGGCATTTTAGAAAGTAACTAGATTCAAGCACAATTCACATTACACGTCTTTAAGAGTTGTTGAAACCTAGGGCTATGGATCACCATATTTGTAACTTGCTATTGACTCATGATGTGACATGATAATTCCACCAATGTCCTAAACCTCAACATTCCATGTATCAAAATGAATTAATAATGGGTTTTGCCTGGGAGTTAAATGAAATCAGATCTTTTTCCTGACAATACATACACCTAAAATATTAACTATGCACTTATTTTTATATCCTCTCCTCCTTTCCCATACTCCACCCTCCAGACATAAGGAAGAAATACTAGGGCCGGCCGAGTGGAGCATTGGTTAAGAACTCGCTNCTCTCCATTCGATTACAAACTCCTTGGGGTGAGAGCACGAGACCCAGGGAAGAAACAACTGGATAGCTGAGTTCATCTCTCGAGGTCTCACCACAGCAAGTTTGCTTCTCTGGCTCTCTGCACCCCGGAACACACACACACACACACACACATGGGCATGGAATAGACTGAGGACAGGACCTTGTCTTATGCATCTTCCTATCCTCAGTACCCGGCACAGAGTCTGTTATCTAAGTCGTCCATGAATATCTCCTCCCACTTATAACACTTCTGGGTCCCATTGTATATTTCAAAGATATCTCATGCTTTCTCAGTTATATTTCCACCCAGAAGCTTGTCCCTCAGCTTATCTAGTACTGGCTGCATGAGCTCAATCAACAGCAATGAGACGATGCTATAGCCTAGTGCATATTGAACAGTAAATGTTAGTGACCCTTTCCTTGTCACCTTCACCAAGTTTACAGTTATCGCACTTCTATGATCACTGCTCCTACGAGTGGCTACAACTCACTGAGTGCTTTCTACAAGGTCAGGTGTTGTGCTAAGCACTTCAAATACATCCTTTCATTTAATTCTCACAACAGTGCTATGCTGGGCTATGTTATCATCCTCCACTTTACACATGAGTGAGGCTCAGGGAGGTTAAGAACTTTGCCCACGTTCACACAGCAAGCAAGTGGTAGAGAGCGAATTCAAATCCAGATCTCCAAAATCTGCGCTTTCCATCCCTGGTATCTGTGATACCAGCAGTGTGTTTCAGGATCATCAGTGAAGAGAAGACGCAAACGTGCTGTTGGACGGTGTTTTGTGCTTTTTAATATCCACACCAGGACAAAGGCATTCTTTTTCTGAGTCTATTTTTCTAAATATACATGTTTCCCAATAAATAAGAAAATTGAAAAAGGACATCAACCATTTTTCCTCCAAATCAGGGAACAGGTAAATCTGACATTTCCTTTATACCAGAATGTTGTGAACACATGTATCTACGAGTATACACATATATGGCTTGTATACAAACATGTGTGTATATACATACACTGCATTTCATTATTAATATGCAGCATATCAGAGTAACATATCAGGTAAATAGGCTTATAAGAAAAAATGGAAGAGTAATTCAAAATCAGTGACCAATGAATTGTTCTATGATGACAACACAAGGACTGAAATGATCTTTGAAAGAAGGATTTAAAATTTTTGAGTCAGTTTCAGGTTTGAAGTCATTTTTTTTTCTAGTGACTTTCTTCTTTCCTCATCAAAAGAGCTGGTTCATCCCCAAAGGAAGATTTGATGATGGCTTTTACTTAAGGGATTATCACCTATGTATATAAATATCTTAGTACAATTTTAAAATACCAAAGCTTTCAAATAATATGCAAGCTACTTGCTAAGTCCATGTCGACAGAACTATGAAAAGAACAGAGTCCTTAAAATATTTCTTGTAGTTCTAGCAAAAGAGAACTCATTCAAGTTTCCACATTTAACATGTTAGCTAAAGTTCCTGGAATACTAAGATGCAAAATCATGGAGACAGAATGGTCACAATCATAGAGATAAAGCAAATCAAGAATCATTGTTTTAACATGAGAGTGTGACAGGCCAGAAAAATTGGTGCCCATTTTTACTCAACTAATTGATCATTTCTTCTAGGGCCAATTTTGCTGAGTAGTTTTTCCATGTTGACAATGCTAAGGCACTAGGTCAGCGTAACAAGGGGAGAAAATGGTCTGAATGAGAGATTAAAAACCTGAACTCTGGCTGAAAATCATACTTATTATGTTCAATAAGCATAACTGTGCCTGAACATATACTACAGTCAAAACTGTGCTTTTAAAAAGCCACCAGGTGAACCTTTAATAAAGCCTCAAATGACTTAAGAACAAAATGAATCCTACAATAGGGAACAAAATGAATTATTGGTACAGATCAAATTGCCCAGAAACATCATGTGTCAACATTAATGTCAGTTCCTCAGAGCCGATGTATTGCTCCTTAATTACTCCAGGCTTCCAAAACCTGTAGTCCTCCTGACAGCTCATTTTACAGAGATGCATTTATTTTGAAAAAGTGTATGTAGCTACCAGCCTGTCCACTCTATCAACATAAGACTTGCCCATAAAAACCTGTTCTATTTTGCCCTGGGCAGCAATTATTAAGTATCCCTCAACATATGTGTCAACACATAAGAAATTGCTCTGGGCTTTTCCTACCTTTTCATTGCTTAAAACAGTAGAAAACACGAAACAAGGAGGCCTTTGTGGAACATGGGGCATCAAAAATATTAGTTGTGGGCCAGCTGAGTGGCGCGATGGTTAAGAGCTGGCTTGGGANAAAAAAAAAACCAAAACACTAGGAACAGTCCCTGGTACCTAGCAAGCACTCAATGTTTGTGTCCTGTTATTATTCACTGTATGGAACCAAAATGGTATGGGGAAAGCAGGGGAATGGATGAGCAAGGGGTGCCCCAGGAAGCAGGAGGCAGGGGGAGGATTCAAGGCAAGCCGGGAGGAATTCCAGAGCTGAGTGCAAAATCGCGTGGAAGGTTATTATGCCATTTTAAGAAGATTTGCTTCAGTACGCAGCTTTCTGAAGTCACGCTTCCTAGGAATATTTGCTAGTGGTTTCGGGTGCTCCATTCACCTCACTTGATTATGCCTAGCAATCCAACTCTTGGTCTAGCCCTCGCCTTCCAGCACATGTCCTAGAAGAACCTTACCTTTCAGACCCTAAGAGATTATTAAGGTCCTTTCCTGAACAAGGTCCATAGTCCCCACGTAATAAAATAATGTCATTTTCCTGTTATACTTAGAAGTAGCTGCAAATAGTTACTGTTTAAAAATCATGTCTGTTTTCCTTATCTCTACATCTGAATTGCATGCGATTCAGAGGAGAAAGGGGTTTTGCACAAGCATAAATCCAGTGGTCATTTCTTAGCTATTATCTTAAGTTTTTTCAGCATTCCCTACTTTTGGAGATATGTTCTCCACTGAGCTCTGAGCGACATCATCTCCCTGGAAGCTTTTGCTCCGACTCTTCTTTGTGACCTCTGAATGCTGGCTCAGTCCTCTGTCCTCTCTCTCTGCACTCTCTCCCTAGGTGATTTCATCTAATCCTTTGGCTTTCAAGTGGCCCTCTGTGGATGAATGTTAGCTAGATTTACTGTGGTGACCATTTCGCAATATGTCATATATAAATGTCAAATCATTATGCTGTACACCTGAAACGAATATAACGTTGTATGTCAATTATACCTCAATTAAAAAAAAAAGAATACCTATGGTGGTGGCCGGTTAGCTCAGTTGGTTAGAGCGTGGTGCTGATAACACCAAGATTGCTGGTTCGAATAGGCCACTGTGAGCTGCGCCCTCCTTAACAATAAATAAATAGATAGATAGATAGATAGATAGATAGATAGATAGATAGATAGATAGATAGATAAATAAAGTGGCCATCGATGCATCGATTACTTCTTGTGGTAGCCGCCAAGATGGCTTGGATGAAAGCTCATCTGTGATCCTCACTTATTGGTACACATGACCCTGTGTATAATCCCCTCCCACAATGAACAGAGTAGACTTATTGAACAGCATGTTACCTTCAACATTAGGTCACAAAAGCATTTCAGTCTGTCTTAGTCTCTTAGACTGCTCACTCTGGGGACAGTCAGCTGCCCTTAAGGTTATACTATGGGGGGGAAACTATCTGAAAAAAAAATCAGTGACTCCACAAAATTTCCCATTCAAAATCATAGTCATATTCCGATAACATCTCAGTGAAAATATTCTATAGTCTTCAGCTGGCAAAGGAAACGTTACATTTTTTATTCAATGTACTCTGCCCTCCTCTCACTGCCAAGAAATACAATTAGCACAGCATCCTCATCATGAGATTCCAGCCCTCATTTACTAGACCATAAGCCACAGACACGAAAGGTCCTTTTGGACTCAGTCATTGAAGAAATGCGGAAGTGAGAGGTCTGTCTTTTTAAAGAAACAGCTCGGAAGGAAAAACCCAAGTACAGGACCAGACAACAAAAGACAAGCATATAATTTATGATTATTTTAAAATCTAAAATTTTACTCATTTAAGTTTTTACTTTTATATACATTTGTTGTGTGTATAGGCTAGAAAAATGTCTGGAAAATACTGTTCATACCAAACTGTGATTAGTGGCTATCTCTTGGGGATTAGCAAGGAGTTGGAAGAATATTTTTTTTTCTATTGCACATTTTTTAATTCTTAACAAACTGAACGTATAACTTTTTGATAATTAGGGGAAAAGTGAATTTTAGTTATCTATAACAAACTGGTTTGCAAGCAGGTCACAGTAGGAAGGGACCATCTAGAAAACAATGGGTTGGCAAAGCAGGCACTTCTTTATGCTTTGTAAGAGTGCCACCTACTGGAATTTTAGGAAATAAACTTTTAAAAAACTAACCCTGCTTTTCAAGCCACTTGAGATACTTTTTATTTTTTCAGTTTCAGGTGTGCAAAACAATGTAATAGTTAGACATTTACACCCCTTTTGATACTAGAAAGTTTGGGGGGGNGGTACTACTAACCCAAACAAAAGGCTTTGTTTGATTTGTTCACAGAAAGGACCAGCGTAAGAGCAGCGCTCATGCACATCCCCTCGCCCCTCTTTTCTGTGGCAGAGCGGGGAGCTCAGGAAAGAGATCAGCACCAACACGGAGCAGCTTCAGTCCAGCAAGAGCGAGGTCACCGAACCGAGGCGCGCCTTTCAAAACCTGGAGATCCAGCTCCAGTCCCGGCTTGCCAGGGTAGGGCCCACGCAAAAAGAGGCAGCATCGTTTCGATTTCCAAAGAAAAGATTGCATCCAAATGATATTAGGCCATTCGATGGCCGCCTTCCTCATTTCAGTCCCCTCTGCTATGTCTGTGCCATTTCCCTCCTACGTGCAGAAGAAATCCCTGGAGGGCTCCTTGGCCCAAACCGAGGGCGACTACTGCGGCCAGCTGTCGCAGGCGCAGCAGCTCATCGGCAGCCTGGAGGAGCAGCTGCTCCAAGGGCGCGCAGACACCGAGCGCCAGAACGCTGACCACCAGCGGCTGCTGAACGGCAAGGCCCGCCTGGAGCTAGAGATGGAGACCTACCGCCGCCTGCTGGACCGCGAGGCCCATGGGTGAATAGATAGATACCTGAGATTGAAATAACCTCAGTGGCTGACAGACAGGGGGCCCCTGAAGCAGTTTGGGAGGCGTTAGAGTGAAGGGTTCCATTTAGTTGGCAAAAAATATTGAGTCTCCTAAAGACATGCATTGGATTTATCAAGTGCTCTACACTTTGCAAAGAGTTGTCACCCATTACCATATTTGATAATAATTCATAAAATGCTGGGATGAACAATGGCACCACAGACAGGCATACTGCATACAAGTTCTAGAACAATCACCCATATGAGTTCTGATATCAGTGTCCCGATGCTAAGAATGACAATTCAAATAACAGCCACCTGAACCACCTCAGGCCCACTTGAACCACCTCAGGCCCACTTGAGCGAATTTTCCAAAAGTCATAGAGGCCTAGGCGAGTGGGAAGAACTCAGGACTGTAATTGAGAAATCTAACTTCTGTAACCAGATCTTCCATTAATTGCCAGTTTGCTTCACTTTGAGATCCCATTTTAGGCAGGATTTGAAAATAAAGGTGCACTGCACCAATGATGACTCTCGGTGCATCACACAATCATGCTCAATCAAGAAATTTGAAATGCTTTCTCTACTGGGCCATAGTTTTATGAGCATTTCTAACTTTTAGCTGAAATAGCTAACTCCTTCTTTCTCCTCATTCCAGAAAGCATGATGTGATAGCATCTGCCTCGTTTTCTTTAGAGACGGTTTGGATGACAGTTCATCTGTAACAGACTCCACATCTCAAGCACAATCCTTTGACTCCTCCAAAGGTATGCAGATTCCCTAAGAATCACCCAGAATAAGTCAGAATCACATTTATTATTGACTAAAATTGTAAGAGCTCATTGAATATTGCAGTATTACTAATAACTTAAGGTATATTTATAGCCTGAGCCAAGGAAAGCCATTTATACAGAAAAATGAGTAGTCTATACTGCATTAAAACTTTTGGCAAGCCCAGGAAGGAAGACATCTACTCTACAAAGAGGTATTATGAGCATCATAACTGCTTTTTAAAAGCTTAAAAAGAGAAATATTTCCATTTGTGCACAAGACAACAATAAGTACATCTCATTTTCACTGAGTAAAATATGTTTTTTTAGAATGCAAAAGTCACTTTTGAAAGTTTAAATTTGATGGATTGCATCGGTCAATACCTAATTTAGAAAGGTTAAGTTAAAACAACACCCAATTTTGGATGAATATCTGAAACAGTAACTTTTGCCCCCTTTGTTCTGTCTTTATCTTCAGACCCTACCAAAGCCCGAAAAATCAAGACAATTATCCATAAAGTGGTGAACGATGAGGTGGTCTCATCCCAAGTTCAGAAACTTGAACAATTAATATAAAATTTCACAAAACCTGCCCCATGATTGGTTCCTTAGGAACAAGAAATTTACAAGTAGAAATTATTCTTTTCAGAGTAAGATGCTTTATTAGTTCAATCTCTACTTTTGTCAGTTTCGTTTTCTTTGGATTCCTACTCACTTTGGGTCCTCGTTGCCCTTCTGAAACCATATTCAATTATAAGTCATTGCACATGTTGGTCTTTATAACAAACCGAATTGCCTTATATCTTTCTGGACGTGGAGTAGTCTTTCAATACACTTGCTTTTAGTGGAACATGTTTTTAACCACAGGATTTTGATCAAGTAGTATTGTTTTAATAAAATTATTTTTTAAAAATGCATGGTAATAATGTGAAATCTGTGCCTTTTTGATTCAAACAATATTGTCAAGGGCAAAGGGAGAGGTTTGTGAAATACTAATAAGAAAGTAGATAAACACTGGGATAAAGATGTCAAGCTTGGAGATTAAGTTAAGAAAATTCTTTTAGAAGTGGTCCTTTTAACATCAGCCCATCACGGTTACAGCAAAATTATATTGTCCAGTACAGGTCATAACAGGTGTACTATTAATTTTCCAGGACTTTCTTTCATTCAGACAAGAGACACTTATTGAAACCCTAGAGTAGGCCAGACTGGAGATTTCCAGGAATGGTGACACAGATAGAAATTCAAAGGACACATGGAAGGAGACGTGAACAACATGTCAGGGGCAACCAGATGCTTCATACAGACATTAACCAGGCAGAGAAAGGAGAATGGAAACAGAGGAAACACGTGTGAAAGGACACAAAGGTGTGAACAATTATTGCT